CCCTATATTAAAAAAAAAAAAAAAAAAAAAAAAACACGTTCGCATTCGCTGTTTTTCGGAGCCCGTCTCGTTCGCTGGCGAACGTGAACAGGGTGCTACGCAGTATTGATGTAGTTACTCTTTAGCCTTTAGGGCTCAAATGTTCACTTATGCTCAACCACATTGGCTCTGGAGACATTTTTCTCTTTCTTGGGCGACACAGGTTAGACATTTTTCTGCTTTCGGGTCGACTCAGACCAAACATTGTTGTATAGTTTAGGCTTGAGGCTTAGTCTGCATTGCATCTCTTTTCTACACAGAGCTTGCTCCACATTTATGATTGTTTCTTTGTCTTTCCTCTAGGTTTATGTTATTTCAGCGTATAGCGTGTTGATGTATCGCTTGATCCATTTACAGGTCCGAGGATCATGTAGCGGTACCCTTTCGGCCTGACAGTGAGGCCGTACCTGTTTCATGCCATCGGCCTGACCCCAGTCCGGTACCGGGTTACTCCGGCCTGGACCTAGGCCGGTATATCTCTCCGGCCGGCCTAGGCCCAGACCGGGTTGATCATTCTTTTAGTTGTTCCTTCATCCATTTAGTCGGACATGACCTTCACTCAGATGCTGCTTCTCGTGTGTGTCCATCTCCTCTCTCTCTCTCTCTCACTATCTCAGCATGTGCCCTCTGCACGTGCGTCACAGGTATACGGTAGTTGGACTGACGGGAGGTCTACCATCTTAGAGTGGCTAGACCTGTTATAGTCTGGGTATCCTGGCATGAGGCGAGCAAAAGGGTCATCACACTCAAGAAGTGAGTATGGTGGTTCTAACCTGGAAGCAAGTTAAAGAGGTTGCCAAGACAAATAGTTTGATTAGTCCTAGCCTGAGGTGGGTCGAATGAACGTCGGATTGAAGGGAGGTATGTCAGTCATGGCCAGTGGTGGGCCAGAACCAAGGCAATCGATGACTTATGAGTGTGAAGAACTGTTTATATTATTTACTATTTTCTTATGAGTTTTATTTTAATTTGTTTCATTTAATTGATATTTGACTATTGTTTGTCAGGGAGTTTGCGGGTTTATGCAGGTTCATTTAAATTTCGCAGACCAAAGAAAAAAAAAAAGGTTTGCTATTCCCTTTTGTTGCATGAGAAGTTGAGGAAATGCCTCAATCAGCTAAAAAAAAAGAACGGGATTTTGTATTCCCTTCTGTATCTTGAGAAGTTGAGAAGACGTCTCACTCAGGCCGGAGAACAAGAAAAGAGTTTGATACACATTTTCCCAACACAGTTAATAGAGTTAGTGCCCTCATCATTAATGTAAGATAGACAATATCCCTAGCATGACTGTCAAGATGGAAGACGAGGTAACTTCTCCACCAGGATAATGGTTCAGAGAGAAAACAAATTTCAGAATGACACGAGATCATAGCGAATTTCAAATGAGAAAATTGAGATATAATCCTTCTTAAATTTATTTGGTGACCGACAGAGCGGCCACGTTCACGAGGAATCTGTCTCTCGGACTTAAAGGTATTCAAACTCTCAAGCCAGGGACAATATGATATGGACTGAAAATTCAAGGGAAGAAATCGGAAAATTCAAGGAAAGATGGATGCTTATACGAGATATAAAAGATGGTCATCAATTCTATCTGGAGTAAAGCGAAAGGGAAGAAAATACAAAAAAGCGTACAGTTACTAAGATGAGAGGGAGAAGAAACAATGCAAGGGATAGAGGGTGACATTGCTGGTGCTAATGCCTTACTTATCACGGGGGTGGTAGGAGCTCTGGGAGTATATGGCAGGGAGACAGTGTTGGGGGCGCCATAGCGCACTTTAAATGTTTTCTAATAATACTTCATCCTTGTTGGAGATGGAGTCCTCTCATACTAACCAAAGAAGGAATGACGTGGATAAGTTCTCAAGTGGGCCCAATATACATACCTCTCTTCTTTTTCCTCCTCCGAACTTATGTACCTTCTGGCCCGTGATGCAGGCTCCTCAGGAGCCTTTCCTCCCCTACCACCTTGTCAGTGTTGTCGCCCGTACGTCGTACGGGGGGTCTCCATACGGCCCGTGCGTACGGACGGATGGACGACCGTAAGGACGGACGGACAACCATACGTACGGACGGACGGCCGTACGGGCGTACGGACGACGACCGTCCAAAGGTGTTTTGGGGGTAAAAAAAATAAAATAAAAAACTAAAAATATGGGGTTGTAGATCTTTTCGAGATCTACAACGCCATATATATATATATATATATTTGGCCTTAAAGAGGATTTTTAAAAAATCAAAAAAAAAAAAGAGAAAAAAAAGGGAAAAAAAAAAAAAAAAC